GCCTGCACGACCAGTCCCCCGTCTCTTCAGGGCGACTCCCAGGTGGCTCCAGTCTGTTGTATGCAGAGCTTTCTCCCTGGCTAGGCAGGATGGTGAGGCCCTGCATTGACAGGCCCTGGGGGAGCTTCAGAGCCATGGGTGGAATCGCCGGGACCTGGTGGACCGGCGGTGCTCAGGGAAAGAGGAAGGCCGGCTCATCTTCGCTCCGGGCTACCTGCTCTGGGCCCCGCCCAGCTCACTTGGACCCTGATTCAGAAGCTGGCCGGCAAACAGCTTACATCTGGGGCACAAGGCTATATCACTGCCTGTTTTCAGGCAAGGGCGAGACGTTGGGACAGGTTTTCTAGATTAAGAAGGAAAGCAGAGGTAGGGCCTCCATTCTCCGTGGAACCTCCCTGGACAAAATCTCCTTTCCTCGAAGTCAAGATAAACTCTGAGCCAGGGTGGGCTCAGGTGATGCCTGAGTCATGATCTAATCAACCTGTTAACCTGAGAAAGCCGGTGCTTAGAAATCCAAAGTTGCTCAACCTGAGCCCAAAGGACTAGAAAACTAGTTTGGAACATGGAGAAATGGAAATGGCTCTGGGGTATGGAAAAAATTGCTCAAGATGAGTTGGGGGGGGTGGTGGAGAAGGCAACAAAAACCTGAACTCGGGAACCTAGATTGCCAAGCAGGAGATGCGGATTTCTCTTATCAGTCAGGCAAAGATAAAAAGTTAGACAATAGCCTCTATTAGCCAACTCTGGAGAAGGAGCCCTCAACTCCTTGCTGGTGAGGCTATAATTTAACCTTTTCTGAGGACATTTAGACAAGCCTATCAACATTTTTGTTGTTGGTGGTGGTGGTCGTGGGGCTTGAACTCTGGGCCTGGGCGCTGTCCCTCAGCTCTTCAGCTCAAGTCTAGTGCTCTACCACTTGAGCCACAGCGCTACTTCTAGTTTTCTGGTGGTTAATTGGAGATAAGAATCTCACGGGGGGGGGGGGGGGGGGGGGTGCTGGGAAGGTGGCTCAGTGGTAGAGCGCTTGCCTTGCATGCATGAGGCCCTGGGTTCAATTCCTCAGCACCACATAAGCAAAAAGAAAAAACCCGGATGTGGCACTGTGGCTCAAGTGGTAGAGCTCTAGCCTTGAGCTGAAGAGCTGAGGGACAGCACCCAGGCCCAGAGTTCAGGTCCCATGACTGGACCAAAAAAAAAAAAAAAAAATCTCATGGACTTTACTGCCACGGCTGGCTTTGAATTATGATCCTCAGATCTCAGCCTCCTGAGTAGCTAGGATGACAGGCGTGAGGCACTGGCTCATTATTTTCTGTATAACATATCTTCTGACCTGGGGTGCAAAGATGGTTTGATGAGACCAGACGAGTGGTTCTAGTGGTAGAGCCTAGCGAGCACCAGGTCTGGGTTCTACCCCAGTATTGCTAAAGACAAAAATAAAAACTATGACCGTGTGCAGGCCATTTATTGACATTGCCTTGAAACTTATGGTAATCGAACCTCAGTGGCCATCCTCAGGCCCCCTTGCTGGGTAGATGATAGGATTATGACAAAATTCAATTAAGGGGCTGGGAAGGTGGCTCAGTGGTAGAGCGCTTGCCTTGCGTGCATGAGGCCCTGGGTTTGATTCCTCAGCACACATAAAGCAGAAAAAGCCGGAAGTGGCGCTGTGGCTCAAGTGGCTGAAGAGCTCAGGGACAGTGCTAGGCCCAGAGATCAGGCCCCATGACTGGCAAAAGAAAAAAGTCTTCAATGACCAGGCCCTGATTTCAAGGCCCGGGACAGGCAAAAAAGAGGAAGGTGTGTGAGGGGGAATAGGTCACAGGCTTTATGAAAACAACAGTGAACCCTGAGACCGCCTTTTCAGGGCAGGGAGAGTGGGCAAAGGGCTGTTTGATTGGGTTACATTGTATGCAGCATGGAAATGTCACAATGAAACGGTCCTGTACACCTAATGTATGCTAACAACAACAAATCTCCAACAGAAAGTCTTCGGTCCTGCAAAATATTGGAGACTTGCAGGTGCAGCTCAGCATGTGGCCTGTTAATAGCAAGGTCTTAAAAACAAAAACAGAACCAGCTGGGTGCAAAATGATCTAAGTGTGGTGGCTCACACCTCCAGAGGGAGTTTGAGGCCAGCTGGAATGCACAGACTCTTCCTCAAAAACAAAGCAGGCTAAGCAGGGGAAGGTGGCTCAATAATCCTAGCTACTCCCGACGCTGAGATCTGAGATGACCTTTCAAAGCCAGCCAAGCCTGTGAGATGCTTATCTCCAATTAAGCACCAGAAAACCAGAAGTGGCACAATGGGTCAAAGTGGTAGAGCTCTTGCCTTGAGCAAAAGAGCTCAGGGACAGCGCCTAGGCCCTGAGTTCAAGCCCCATGACTGACAAACAAACCAAAATGGCCCAGACTGTTAAGGGAAGTTGGTGTACATGATGGAAATGATTCTCAAATCACTATAACTCTAGCTGTGTTGGTGAGTGTGGTGGTCTCTGCGTGGTATTAGAGGGACACACTCACCAGCCTTCCGAGCTGTATCTGTGGGTACTAACGGCCATCTGCAGGGCGGTACAAGACACTGAGGGAAGTATCGACTTTAGGGAAAGGCGCTGGAGGCCTGGGACGGGTACTTTCTTTGTCTGATTGTCACCTTTTTTGCTCGTAGCGAGGGACAGGCACCCACAGAAAATGCAGGCATGCATGAGGTTTTGGCCATGTCAGATGAGCTCAGAAGGCCAGAAGCCCCTGTGCCAGTTTCACCCAGACCCCAGACATCGAGGGGGAAGCAGCGGCCAGAAGAGGGCGCCGGAGGACCACGCCTGGGGCCTGTGCACCCAGGGCAGGAGGCCTCGGGCTAGGAAGGCTCAGGGCCAGGAGGCCCCATGGTGGGAGGCCGTGACACCGCAGCCTCCACAGGGCCACCACCCGCAGTCTCAGAGGCACTTTTGAGTTTGAGGCCAGCCTTGCTAAGGAGTGAGATTTCCTGTGAGGTTCCTGGCTAGAGGACCGATGACGCCTTCCATGGCCATACCTTGGGAAGGCTCGGTCGCCACCCAGGCCTCCCGGCGGGAGGGCCGCAGCCGGATAAGTTAATCAGATCTAAACGGGGCTGGGAGGAAGGCAGCCTCCCCTCCCCTCCCCTCCCCTCCCCCTTGCAGGTGCTTGCAAGCCTTTGAAGGAAGCTGGCTAGTAAGGCCCCCACAGTAGGTGTTCCTTTTCCTTGTCTTTACTTCTCCAGGAGACAGAAGCCACCTGTTCCTTACACCTAGGGAAACTGAGGTCAGAGAGGTTTGCAAACTCCAGCTGGCAGCCCCCCAACAAGCAATGGATTTAGTTCCTACTACCTGCTTTGACCAGACAGTAGTTACTGACAGCTGAGTCTGGTGGCACCACCTGTAATCCAGGCCTGAAGCGAGAGGATCGAGTTCCAGGCCTACCTGGGCTACAGCAGCAGCAGCGCTGTGGGTGGGGTCGGGTCCGGCTTCAGTGAACCAGGTGACTTTGGTTTGACTTTGGTGGCTGAGGTCCTGCTTGAGAAAGTGACTTCATTTCAAAAAGAAAGCCTTTTCTTTTGGTGTGTGGTGCTGGAGATTGGCCCAGAACCTTCTGTATGTTAACTATCAACGCACGTGCTCGAAATATATCATTCATATCCGACTTACACCACATCACCTTTGTAATAACAGATCATTTTTTTCAAACAGAACAAAAATATCCTTCATATGAAAAGGGCTTGAAGCCGGGCACTGGTGGCTCACGCCTGTAATCCTTGCTACTCAGAGGCTGAGATCTGAGGATCACGGTTCAAAGCCAGCCCAGGCAGGAGAGTCGGTGAGACACTCATCTCCAATAAACCACTCAGAAAACCAGAAGTGGTGCTGTGGCTCAAGTGGTAGAGCTGAGGGACGGCGCCCAGGCCCCGAGTTCAAGGCCCAACCAAAAAATGAAAAGGGCTCCAGTTTAAAGCTGTCCCCTCCTTAAGAGGCGCGCTGGGGTGCAGCCCCGGCCGGCCCAGCCCAGCCCTCCCGTCGAGCATGCCGCCTTCCCTGCTCCTCTTCCTGGCTGCCGCCTCCGTTCCTTAACCTTTGTCTTTGACCTTTGGAGATTCATCCATTCATTCGTCCGTCCGTTCGTTCGTTCAGGAGACAGGATCTTGGCAAGCGGGCCAGGCTGGCCTGGGACCCCGCGCCCATCTCCCCCACGCCAGCGCGCGTCGCGGGGCCGGCCGCCCGGGGTGAGCGTCCCGCCCGCGGGGAGCCGTCAGACCGGGGTGCGCCGGCGGGCGGGGTGCGCCCTGCGGGGAGAGGACCGGGCCCCGCGGCGGCGGCCTTGGGGAGGGGGCGCGCGAGGTGGCCTGCACCGCGTCTCAGCACCGGCGAGGCCGAGCCGGGAGAGGCTGGCGGCCGGCAGGTGCCAGGGTCCTGGGGTGGGCAAGGCCCGGCTGGGAGAGGAGAGCGCAGGCGTGTGGGCTCCGGCCGCGGCGGCCAGCCCGGTGCCCGGTGAGCCAGACGCACGGGCCGGGCCCCGGAGCCGCGTGGACCCCCGCGCCCCGCCCCGGGACGCCGCTCCGCGCCCGCGCCGCCGCCCAGCCATTTCCGCAGGTGTGGGCGTCCGCGCCGCCGCCAGGGGGCGCCAGGGGCGCCGGGACGCGGGCCCGGGGCCGGGGGGCGCCGTCCAGCCGGCCACTGCGGTCCCTCCCCGCGGAGACCCGCTGCGCCCGCGTCCCGGCCGACCGGCCGGCCCGCCCGCCCGCCGCGGGGAGACCGGCGCCGCCCGCGCAGCCGGCGGCAGAGGAACCCCGAGCCGGCTCCCAGCGCCACGCGGCGCGAGCCCCACCCGCCCAGGCGCACCTGCTTGGGGCGTGGCCTCCCGCGAGGCGCGCCTTTGATTGGCGCGCTGTTGACAAAGGGGCGTGGCCGCGCCCCGCCCGCCCCGCCCGCCCGCAGTGGAGTACTTAAGGGGGTTGGCCGCGCGTCCGCGCGCACCGCGCCGCAGCCGGCCCAGCGAGAGCAGCTCTGCGGACCCCCGGCGCCCTCGGCCACGATGCCGCGCTCCTTCCTGGTCAGGAAGCCTTCCGACCCCCGCCGGAAGCCCAACTACAGCGAGCTGCAGGACTCGGCCCCGGGTGAGCGGACGCGGGGGGCGCGCGCCGGCGCCGCGGGGGCCCCCGGGGGGGCCGGGTCGCGGCGGGGCGTCCCGGGGAGGCCGGGCCGGGCCCGCGGGCGCGGGCAGGTGGACGGGGTCGACGGGAGGGGGAGGCCGGCGTCGCGGCGGCGGCGGCGGCGGTGGCCCGGCCCGGCCCGGCCCGGCCCGGCCCGGGCGAGGGGAGGCCGGGAAGTCCGGAGTCCGGGTGGGGGCGGGGTGGAGGCCGGGCCGGTGGGGGCGGGCGGGGGCCCGGCGGGGGCCCGGGCCCGGGGGTGCCGCCCTGCGCCCTCGCCCCTGCGCCCTCGCCCCTGCGCCCTCGCCCCTGCGCCCCTCGCCCCGGGCCGGGGCGGGGGGGGGGGGGGGGGGAGGTCGGAGGTGGAGTGCGAGCTGACCCTGCCCTGTCTGCTCCCCCCGCAGAGCTCACCTTCCAGCAGCCCTACGACCAGGCTCACCTGCTGGCCGCCATCCCGCCGCCCGAGGTCCTCAACCCCACGGCCTCCCTGCCCACGCTCATCTGGGACTCCTTGCTGGTACCCCAGGCCCGGACCCTGGGCTGGGGCACCCCAGAGCCCCAAGAGAGCCCCAAGGCCGGGGAGCTGACCTCCCTGTCGGATGAGGACAGCGGGAAGAGCTCTCAGCCACCCAGCCCGCCCTCGCCGGCCGCGTCCACCTTCTCCTCCACCTCCGCCTCTTCCCTGGAGGCCGAGGCCTACGCCGCCTTCCCTGCCTTAGGCCAACTGCCCAAGCAGCTGGCCCTCCACCCCAGGCTCTCCGGGGCCAGGGACCCCCAGGCCCGGAAGGCCTTCAACTGCAAATACTGCAACAAGGAATACCTCAGCCTGGGCGCCCTCAAGATGCACATTCGCAGCCACACGCTGCCCTGCGTGTGCGGGACCTGTGGGAAGGCCTTTTCCAGGCCCTGGTTGCTGCAGGGCCACGTCCGCACCCACACCGGTGAGTGTCCCTGTGCCCCCCCCCACCTCCCCCCCCTCGCCCCTGCCTGGCGGTGCTTGGGGCTCCAGCTCCCTTCCGGCCCACGGAGGGGGGTTGGGCAGAAGCGGGTCTGGCGGGGCAGGGGCAGGGTGTGGGCAGGGCGTAGGGTCGGGGCCTTTCCACCCTGCCCTGCAGATCTGGGAAGGAGCCCAGTGACACCTTGTTGTTTACTGCCGCACAGGATGTGCCCACCTTCTCCACCTGTGCCCGGCTCCTGCCTGGCCAACACCCTGGGGCTCGGGGTGGGGAGGGGGCATAGGGCAGGCGCCCAGGAAGAGTGCATGCCCAGAACCCAGGCACAGGGCTTCCAGAAAGTGCCGGTAGCCCTGGGTGAGCCTGTTCAGGCCTGAGGGATGGCGGTGGCTGAAGGTGGGGAATCCCCGCACAGCCCCTGCTCACAGGGCCCCTTCCCACCCGGCCCAGGCCCATGCCCATGCCACATGGAGCGGTTCAAAAACAATGCGGAACTTTGTGCTGAGGCCTGGCAGCTGCCCCTTCAGAACCTGAATGGTGGAGAATGTTGTGGGGGGGGGCGTTTAGAGAGAGGCTGTGAAGGAAGAAGGCCCAGGGCCACAGCTCCGTCCTGAGACAGGCGCCCAAGAGCCACGGTTGGCCCAGGTGGCTGACCTGAGCAGTCCGCGGGCCAGGCACCCTGTGGACGAAGCTCCCCCCCCCTCCCCCCCCCCCCCCCCCCCCCGTGCATTCTACTGAATGCACACATAGCACAACCTGTAAAGGTCCAACAAAGGGGACGCCATTTCGAGAGGGAGTCAAGCCTTGGGGTGCTCTGGGGGCCCCAGTCCTGCCCTCCCACACAGACATTGTTTGAATGCAAAGGCTCCCTCAGCCCCCATTGACATGCGCCCATCCTCCTGGACCCTATTGTGTGCTTAATGGTTAGGCACAGTGGGGGGTGAGGAGCAGGTGCACCGGGCAGTGGTGCCCGCACCTGTTCCCGCCGCAGCTGCTACCCATGGTGTGACAGGCCCTTTTAATCCGGGGGTATCGCATGTACGGTGCCCCCCTTTGTCCCCGCCGGCCTGGTGCCGATTTCACACTTGCCAGGAGCACCAGAAAGGCGGCTGAGGGGTGGAGGGAATGGGGGGGGTCGCGACAGGGTGCCATGTGCTCCACAAGCCTTTAGTTGACCCTCAACTACTGACAGAGCTTCAGCGGGGACTGGGTGGGAGGCCTGCAGCCCGCTCAGGCCCCCCCCCCCAGCAGGGCTCCCACCCTAAGGTGGCAGCCTCCCACCCTGCCGTCCCCTGGGCCGCCCTGTGGTCCCCTGGGCCGGTCCCGCCTGGCCACACCCACTAGGCCTTGGCGATTCTTTGCCAGCTGGTCCTGCATTCCAGCACTGGCCTGGAAGGATGTTGAATGTTAGAGCAGTGCTTGTCCCCGTAGGAGCTCAGTAGATGTTTCTCTGATGAGTTTTGATTATACCCTTAGGGGGAAAAGAAACCCAACGCAGTCAGCTCCTGGCTGGGGCAGGGGCTGGGCTCCAAGGTCCTTGGCAGTCTTTTGGGCTGTTCTGTGTGGTGCCGTGCTAAGGCTTGAACTCAAAGCCGCGGCCTGTGTTCTTAGTGCTCAGTAGCTGGCTGGAACTCCACCACGTGAGCCACACTTCCAGTTCTGGTTTTGTGCTGGCTCATGGGGATGTCTTGCGAGCGCTTACAGAGCACTTTCTGCATGGTTCGCACCTGGGAGACTTCACACACCTTGTCCAGGGCCACAGACTTTGGGGTCCCAGGCTGAGGCTCAGGCCTGTTCCTGGGGCTCCTGCCAGACGGGTTTGTCTGAGGCGTGGCCCAGCCAGTGCTGAGGTGGGGAGGGGGGACCCCGGAAGTCTGCCCCTCTAACTTGGGCCCCAAAGACAATAAAGTAATGGCCACAAGGGCCTTGCCTTGGTCAAGGCCTGGGACCTGCTGGGGGGTCCTGGAGATGCCACTGGGCTTCCGTGCCTCAGTTTCCCCCTCCCTATTGCGAGGTGTGCAGGAGGATCGCGTGCCTGTGGAGTGAGTCAGTAGTCTGTTTGTGGGGCCCCTCTGCACCTGCGGGGTGTGAGGATCCTCGGCCTGCACTTAGTCACGGACCTGACTCCCCAAGGCGAGAAGAGAGGCCCCGGGACACGGCCGCTTCCCTGGGCCATGGGACTCTGCCGGCGCCTCACCCCCCACCCCTGCGCTCTGCCCTCTCCCCAGGCGAGAAGCCCTTCTCCTGCTCACACTGCAGCCGGGCCTTCGCCGACCGCTCCAACCTGCGCGCGCACCTGCAGACACACTCAGATGTGAAGAAGTACCAGTGCCCCGCCTGCGGCCGCGCCTTCTCCCGCATGTCGCTGCTCCACAAGCACCAGGCGGCTGGCTGCACCGCGGGCCCCCGCTGACTCTCCCTGCCTGGGCCAGAGGCTCCCGAGGCTCTGGAGTTGCTGTGTGGCCCACAGGACTCTGGCTCCGACCTCTGCCCTGGCCTTGGAGGCCTTCAGTGGGAACGGGTGGCCGCCCACCCGCCACTGTGGAGCCAGGCCCAGGCCCGCTGGGTTTGTGCACCCTGAGCTGTTAGCTGCAGCCAGAAGCCATCAGACCGGACCAGGACACTCCCACTCCACTCAGGGGACCCCACTCTCCCCTTCCCTCCCCCCAGGAACCCTCAAGCCACCTTCCTGGGGGCAACTATGCAGCGATCGTGGGACAGGAGTGGGCAGGAGGCCGCCTAGCCTGGAGGTGGCCCCTGTGTGTCACGGTGACACCTGGTTTACTCTCAGGAACTGAGTGACAGCCCTCAGCCAGCCTGTCCTGTCCAGGGGCCACAGCCTGGCCCCAAGGCCCCAGACCCGCTCTGGGACCGACAGGTGTGGGAGGAAGATGTTTACATTTTTAAAGGTACACTGGTATTTATATTACAAGCAGCATTTTTTGTGTTAAGGAAACATTTTGTATAGTTATATATACAGTTTATTGATGTTCAATAAAGTGGTTAATTTATATAGCAGCGTTCCCTGGCCCCGCGGGGTGGTTACGGGGTGGGCACTAACGGAAGGGAAGAGGGCCGTGGAGGTGGGCCCTGCCTGGCGGGGAGTGGCAGCCCCTGGCCAACGCGGCCTGGAAGAGACACTGGATCCAAACAGGCCACAGGGCCACAGCTGCCGTGGCTGTGCGCCCCTGGGCGGGCTTCCGGCCGTCCTTCCTGCCCCCTGGGCCTCTGTCAGGCAGGCCCACACCTCGTCTGGCTGCTGGGTACCAAATGGCCTTTGATGCCAGGAAATTGGCCGGCTGGAGCCAGGAGGGTGAGAAGCCCGGCCAGAGGGTAGGGGTCACCGGACTTCCTGCTCGGAGGGGGGACAGCCGCTTGCCCGGCTTAGGGCAATCACGGCTGGCCACTGCTGCTGCTGCTGTCACCTCGGGGGGCCTCCTGGGGCCAGCAGAAAATGAGTGTCCTTGCTGAGGACAAAAGGTGCCAAAGGTGCCAGTTTCCTGCAGGGCGTCCCGGGCAGGCTGCGGCCCCAGCTCAGCCCAGTCAGGCTGGGATGGGGCGGGACCGGCGGCGGGGGTGGGGGCGGCGGGGGAGAGGGGAGGGCTCCAGGCTCCAAAGGAGAGATGAGTCTTTCTTCTAAACAGGAAATGGTGACCCGCAGGCCGGAGCAGCCCTTAATGGCTTGCAGCTTTCCTCTCCAAAGGGGGGAGAAAAATGTTCTCTGACAATCACCAAATTGTGGTTGGCGTCCCAGAAGGAAGTTGGGGGGGCTGAGGGCCGACTGTGTCCCAGGCCCTGTGGGCCCCTGTGGGTCAGAAGGTCCCCCAGTGGGTGCTGAGGCTATGGAGTGAATGACCTCATACAGGCCCCGAGGGACCGGCCTCTGGGAGGCTGGCCTGAGGTCACCCCAGCCTGAGCTACCTGAGCCCAGTCACGCTGGACTTCAGGTAGGGCTGTCCCAGTATAGGAGCACGCAGCCCCCCCTCAGACCCCACCCCAGCTTCTGCCTCTGGAATGGGGAAGAGCCTGCTTCCTGCCCAGACTGAGACGAGGCGTCATTTGCTCATTCACTCGCTCGGCCTCACACTGTGGCACCGGGCATCTTGGCCCAGGTCTCAGCCCTGGGGGACAGCTGCTGCCGGTCCCTGTGCTGGGGGAGGGGTTAAGTCAGCTGGGAGGTTGGAGAGCAGCCCCCGGCTTCCAGAGTCCTGGGAGGACTGGCGGTCCACCACGGCCTGGACGGGGACCAAGACGCCAGGCCGAGGAGAGCTGGGGGAGGCTGCGAGGAGCAAAGCAGGGGCCGGGCGGGGCCCAGGAGGACCCGGCTCGGCTCTGACATCTGGGCTGGGAGGTGGCGTTTGTGCCAGCTTGGAGGCCAGCCCCAGGCCTTGCATGCTGAGGCCATTCACCTGGGGGGAGGGGGGCAGGGTTTAGGGTCAGGGAGGAGGAAGTGTGTGGGGATGGGTGACAGTGCCCTGGCCCAGGGCTGTGTCTGGGTTTGTGCCCCAGCCGTGGAGCTCCTGGCTGGGAGACCAGTGCATGCCACTGCCCGGCCCGAAGCACCGACACAGCTCAGCCAGACAGCCAGTGAAAGTGGGTCCCTGGGGGGGAATGGGAGGGGGAGATGGGTGAATCCCTGGGGAGGAATGGGGGGGGAATGGGTGAATCCCTGGGGGGGAATGGGGGGGGAATGGGTGAATCCCTGGGGGGGAATGGGGGGGGAATGGGTGAATGGGGGCAGGGGGAAAGTGAGGTGTGTGTGTGTGTATATGTGTATGTGTGTGCATGCACACACGTGCTGGTACTTGGGCTTGAACTCAGGGCCTGAGTGCTTCCTGAGTTTGTTGGGGGTTTTTTTTTGCCGGTCATTGGGCCTAAACTCTGGGCCTGGGCGCTGTCCCTTTGCTCTTCAGCTCAAGGCAAGTGCTCTACCACTTCCAGCTTTTTCTGCTTATGTGGTGTTGAGGAATCGAAGCCAGGGCCTCATGCATGCAAGGCAAGCGCTCTACCACTGAGCCACCTTCCCAGCCCTCCCTGAGCTATTTTTTACTCAAGGCTGAGGCTCTACTACTTGAGCCACAGCTCTACTTCTGGCTTTTTGATGGTTCATTGGAGGTAAGAGTCTGTGATTCTTAGATCTCAGCTTCCTGAATAGGTAAGGCTAGGATGATGGGTGTGAGCCCCTGGTACTTGATAAGGTTTTTAAATTTAATTTGTTATTGTTATTATAAAGGTGATATACAAGGGGTTAGTTACATAAGTCAGGTAGAGTGCATCTTGCTGGGGACTGGTGGCTCACGCCTGTCATCCTAGCTACTCAGGAGCTGAGATCTGAGGATCGTGGTTCACAGCCAGCCCGGGCAGGAAAGTCAATGAGACTCTTTTTTTTTTTTTTTTTGGGTCTAGTCGTGGGGCCTGAACTCTGGGCCTGGGCACTGTCCCTCAGCTCTTCAGCTCAAGGCTAGCGCTCTACCACTTGAGCCACAGCGCCACATCCGGCTTTTTTCTTTTTGCTTATGTGGTGCTGGGGAATCGAACCCAGGGCCTCAGGCATGCAAGGCAAGCACTCTACCACTGAGCCACCTTCCCAGCCCCTCAATGAGACTCTTATCTCCAACTAACCACCAGAAAACTAGAAGTGACTAAAGTGGTAGAGCACTGGCCTTGAGCTGAAGAGCTCAGAGACAGTGCCCAGGTCCAGAGTTCAAGCCCCATGACCAACAACAACAACAAAAAGAGTGTATTTCTTTTTGGACAATGTCACTCCTTCCCTCATTCCACCTGACAATGTCTTAATTTCTTTTTTTTTTTTTTTTTTGGGGGTGGGGGGGCCCTGAGCACTGTCCCTCAGCTCTTCAGCTCAAGGCTAGTTGTCTACCACTTGAGCCATAGCAGCACTTCTGGCTTTTTCTGCTTACATGGTGCTGAGGAATGGAACCCAGGGCCTCATGCATGCAAGGCAAGCACTCTACCACTGAGCCGCCTTCCCAGCCCCCACCAGACAAGTTTTTGAGACAGGGTCACTACATAGCTCAGGCTGGCCTCAAATTCTCAGTCTTCTGACATCAGCCTCCTGAATGCTAGGATCACAGGTTTCTGCACCCTGGGATTGAACTCGGGGCCTCACGGGTGCATTTTCACCCACCCTGGGCTCAGTCATCCGTGGTGACTGACCCGGCACGGCGGCAGCATTTTGGGAGGGCTGTGTGAGAGCTGGAGGCTCTGACCCGGGATGGGCCCCCACGTCCTGTGTTGTTCCGTTTGCCCGCTGTTCTGAGGGCTGCCTCGGGTCCGAGTTGCCGGGTTCCTCACCAGGCCGGTGCTGCGCCTACGTCCCCCGGTGCTGCTGTGCTGAGACACAGCTGTGGGGTCGGAGTGTGGCGCCAGCTCTCCTTGTCCAAACAGCTCCTGCATCCCCCCAAACCCTCACCCTGGCTGGGGCATCAGCTTACATTGATTGCCACCACACGGGCTGTCACCTGGGTGGCCTTGACCCTGGAGAGCTTCGAACCCTCCATCCCTGTCCACTTTGGCCATTGGCTTCCTCCCCAAGAGCTGGCCCCTGTGTTGGGCAGCAGGGCGCTGAGGCCCAGTGGGGGACCAGCCGGCGGGACACGGGGTCTGGCCTGGACATTAAACCCCCCCCCCCATTTGCTCTAAAATGACTCCAGGAAATCAAGGGCTGTAAAGGGTCTGTGTGAGCATCCAGGCGGGCTGTCCCGCGCCTGTCCACCTCTGGGCACATCTGGGGCCTATTAGTGGCCCGGGCAGCTCTCGGGGGTTCCCTGGGCGGGGTGGGGGTGGCTTGGCTGGGAGCAGGCAGGCCTTGCTCTCCTGGACTTCTGATGGTCAATGTTAGACATGTTATGGGAACCTGTTTTTTGTTCATTAAAAACAAAAAAAAAAAGAAAAATGAGACTATGAAGCTTGAGGAGCCTGTAATCCCTGCCCGCCCCCCCCCCCCCCACGCTGCCCAGCCTGGGTGGGACACATGGGACCTTGGCTCCGGACTTAACAAAAGGCAGGGCTGGGGCTCAAGAAAGCCGGGCTCGGTGGCTCACGCCTGGAGTCCTAGCTACTCAGGAGGCTGAGACCCAAGGATTGGGGTTCAAAGCCAGCCTGGGCAGTAGAATCCATGAGACTCTAATTATTAAACTCTCTAGTTAACCACCAAAACACTTTGGAAAGCAACCTGTCTCAGAGAGGCTGGGTGCCCGCCAGCGCCACACAGCGCCACGCACCTTAGGTCCTTCTGAGTCTGTTGTCCCTGCTGCTGGCCGCTGCTTGTGCTGCTCTGATTCCGCAGCCCTGGGCCTGGGCAGCGCTAAGGATAAAGGCTGTGAGCCGAGTGGTGGGAAAAGGGGGCTCAGCCTGGTATGGGGGTTCTGTGCAGCCCTGGCAGACCACTACCTGTGTGTGTGTGTGTGTGTGTGTGTGCGCACATGTGTGTGTACCCCACAGTGCCAGCCCTGCCCCCGCCTGGGGCACTGGGGGACACAGGGATGCTCACCGCGTGGGGGTTTGGGGGAGACACGCTGTCTCCCCCCGCCCCCCCCCCCAGCCTGCGCTGATGACAGGCAAGCAGTGCCCGGGCTGCAGGATGGCTTTACCCTACAGCCAGAGGAAGGAGCTATGGGAAGGGCTGCACTGCTCCGGCTCTGTCCCCAGCCTCCCCCCAGCCTCCCCAGCCTCCCCCCACCTCCTCCCCGGCCTCCCCCCCAACTCCCTTCTGACCTCCCCATGGCCCCCTCCCTCCAGCCTCCCCCCTGGCCTCCCCAGCCTCCCTGGCCTCCCCCCTGCCTCCCCCCCGCCTCCCCCCCCCCGCCTTCCCCCCCATCCCCCTGGCCTCCCCCCCCAGCCTTCCCTGGCCTCCTTTGCCCCTGGCCAGCCCTGGGCCACCAAGATGCCTTCACACCCTGCCAATCAGCCATGAAGATTTCATCTCCAAACCAAACCACTCCACAACTTCCC